GTTTATCTTTGTGATGTCATAAAGACGGTCATGGTCAGGATAAAAAAAATACGAAGGACATTCCCCCTGCCTGCTGTCATGTGGCTTTCCACGCACAATGTGCGTTTAAGGTGGGGCTGAACAACAGTATTTCCTATTAAACAGAGAAGTGCAATTGCTTTGGGTTCCTTGTGCAGTTCCGAGTGTGTGTGCTGGCAGGGGCTTAAGAGGCCCAGACACGGATGTGCCTTGAATCAGCCAGGAAGGTGATGAGTAAAGCAGGGCTCCCTGGAGGCGGCTACCCTAGGCCCAGGCCTCCGAATAGCCCGTGAATTAAAAAGTGTTGGTGTGAAAGCCAGGTGGCAGTGGACCTGTTTTTCAGGTCTCCATTTGGAAGTGGAGCAAATACCACTGGAATGTCATAAACCACAAGGGCAGCTGGCTCTGGAAGAGCTGGAGGAGGCTGCTGAAGAAAACAAGGCCAGGGGTGAGGACAGAGGAAGCTGATGGCATGGAGGGGCTTGGACCTGCTGCAGAAGAAGCCACAGCTGTGGTGACGGAGAGCTGCAGGGCAAGCCAGAGGTTTTCCGGCAAAGGCCATTCTTGAATGTCAGAGCCTCAGGGGGAGGAGATACTGCAGGGGAAAGCAGGGAGGTGCAGCACAGGACTGGGGTTTGGAAAAGGAAGCTGGGGAGGCTTTCCTGAGGCTAAATCCTTTTAAAAAATGTTGAGTCTTAACTCTTTTGAGACTCTGGAGTGATAAAAGGAAGAGGAGAAAATGGCGGGCCCCTTTTCATACACTGCACATGCAATCTCTTATTTAAGAAAAGGTTAGTGAGAAAATAAAGTCCTCTGATAGAAACCTGGCTTTCACATGCCTTTTACAAATCCGATCTGTGATGAAAATGATCAGGTGTGTGAATGTTAAGAGTAGTGCAGTGGGCATAATTGACATCCATCCAGATAAATAATTCTCTTACTGGCAAACCCTCTGCACACTGTCCACCGTGAAAGCTAAGCCAGGGGTTAGAAGACAAAAAGAAGATGAGGTGTAAGGTAAGTAGCTCCCAATAACAGAGGAAATAACCTCTACTGTGAGTAGAAAGAAGCAAGGAAATGAAGGACAAGCCTGAGTCATAAGGGTCAAGGCTCCCACCAGGCTTGGAGTGGGGGTAGGATGAGGGGAAGGAGATAGGGAGAAGATAGAAGCTCCTGAAAAATATGTGGATGTTTACTTGTGCCCTGCTGGGGAGGGGGGAGTGGTACAAAAGGAGGGCAGAATGGCAGGGACAACATTCTGGTTGTAAAAGGAAGACATGGGAAGACAAGTTCCTTCCAGGAACTCTGAGCATTGACTAGGTTTACTAAGGTGGTATCAGTGATCACTAGGAAGAGGTCAGTAGCTTATGCCTTAAAGGTAGAGGCCATGCAGACATCTCTAGAGATGAGAAGGTAGAGAACGGGAGGATTTGCTGATGGATTGTGTAGAGGGTGTTAGAGAAAGAGAGGAGTCAGGGATGATGGCATAGCTTATGGTCTGTGTGTTTGGATCATCAATGGTTATTTGAGGAGGAATGTGGAATTTGGTTTAAAAGCAGATATCCTAGTGGAAACGTCATATAGGTAGTTGGATAAAGGAATCTGGCATTCGGAGGAGAAGTCAGGACTGGAAATATAAACTTGAGAGTCACTAGCATGTAAATGGTGTATGAAATCCAGGAACTGGATGGTACCATTTGGGCTTGGATGTAGGGAGAGAAGAAAAGAGTTTGAGGACTGAGTCCAAGGGCCTTCCACCAGTTAGAGATCAAGAAGAAGAACACAGTCCAGCCAAAGAGAGCAGTTCCCTACATTTTCTCAAATAGAAATACAGCAGAAGCCCTTTGTTACTGCTGATATTTGTAGTCAGAGCTAATGCCCATGGCACAGATGAAACCAACTTTTGTCCTTTTAGAGTTTGAGAATTTGAAGACACTAATCATCACATGGTCCTATATTTTCCAAAATGTGGGTCACGGGTGGTCAGAAGTGAACTGGAATAGGAGACTCAAGTGCACCGAATTGAACCAATTCTAATCCTTGGCTTGTGACAGCACATATTGGCATTGGTACATGAAAGCACTCTTTTATTTTATCTGTTGTTTAATGTTTTCATTAGAAAAATAACATAAGGGTCACTCACAACTAAGAGTTAGTAAGAACATTTCCAGTAATCTTGACTGCTCCCAGGTGACCAGGCCCTTAATTTTATGTCCATCTTTCCCTCCCGCCCCCGTCTTCTTATCTTTCTTTCATGTATAAATAATGTATTGTTTAGATCTGCTTTTTAAGATTTTTTATTATTGAAGGTTTCACATATTGTAAATAAAAGAGCAGAGAAGATAGTATAATAAACCCCATGTACACATCTTTCTGTTTCACCCGTGATCCACTCATAACCAATCTTGTTTCTTCTCCACCCACATCGCCCCATTTTGAAGCAAATTCCAGATAACGTATCATTTTATCCATAAATATTTCAGCACGAGACTTAAAACACACATAATTATTATCACATCTAAACATTTAAAATAATGGTTTAAAATATAACAATATTCTATTACTTCTAGAGTCCCAATTGTCTCAAAAATGATCACATTTAAAGCCCTGGCAGGTGTGGTGGTTGGATTGTCAACCCATAACTGAAAGGTTACAGGTTTGAATCCCAGTCAGGGCACTTCCTTAGCTTGCGGGTTCAATACCCAGTCTGGAGTCGGGTGTGTGCCTCCCCTGGTCCAGGTGTTTACTATTACTGATCCCTGGTCTGGGTACATATGGGAGGCAACCAGTTGATGCTTCTCTCACATGTGATTTATCTCTCTCCTTTCCTCTCTCTTTAAAAACAATGAAAAAAAATGTTCTTGGGTGAAGATAAAAATAATGGATGATCACATTTGTGAAAAAATTAAAAATTTGAATTCTGACTCAATAATTAAAGATATTAAGAAATGACTGTTAATGTGTCTTAGATGTAGTATTGTGACTGGGTTTGTTTTGGTTCTTTTTAAGAGTTTTTATTTTTGAGGTATATATTGTATTTGTGTATCTACATCTATTCAGTGTGTGCAATATATCTATGCTGACATATTTATGGATGAGGTGATACCATGTCTGGGAAATGCTCTGAAATAATATAGGAGTGGTGGTGAATGCATGGGATGTAGTCGAGATGAGATTGGCTGTGAGTTTATCTTTGAAGCTGAGTGACAAGTATGTGGGGTTTATTAAACCTTTGTATGTGTTTGAAATTTTCCACAGAAAAAAAAAATGAGTGCAAAGAATGCAACACTAAAAAGAACATTTGGGTGCACAGCTCCTTACGCACATATGGGAGTTTCTTCGGGGTATAAACTTAGAAGTGCAGGTTCAGCTCTGCTGGCCAGTGCAGAGTTGCTCCCCAGAGTGGCTGGCAGCCCTCGTCACGGAAACCAGTGCAGAACTCAGATCGCCTCACTCTGAGGACAATGAGTCCCTCTCTCTGTTGGCTGTTTTTGCACCTTCGTGGTATGACTCTCTCTGGGGTGAAAAGGAATGTGTTGATCGGTGCCCCTACTCCTAAGGGTGACAGCATTGTGATAGGACACAGCTGGATCAGATTAGCAATTTCTGGAACATGAATACCTGCCTAAATCTACCCACGGTTTCTTTTTCTATGTTTGAGCTCTTGTTTTGGGTGTAAGACTCACCCAGTTTACAAAAATCAATATACATCTGCTGTCTTTGTCTTGTTACAAAATAAAGACCTGTTTATTGTAGACATTTCAAATAAATAAGAGATAGAAAATAAAAATCAGCTTAACCTACTATAACTGTCAATATTTGCTGTTTACTCTGTCTTTTTTCTTCGCATTCTACATTCTCTTGAAACATGCTTTCTTCATTTAAGATGTTTTTTAATGTTACTATACTGCATTTACATATATTTTTTGATGGTGGCATAATATTTTATTGTCTGGAAATGACATCATTCATTTAGGTAATTCCCAATTTTTAACACTTAGACTGTTCCCAATGTTTCCTTACTTTTTTTCTCTTTTTGCTCATTTTGAAGAACTCACTGCTTTGACTTGTCTCCAAAGAGAACCAGTCCCATTGTGAATGATCAGACTGCTTAATGACTGCTTCATGGGGAAACACACAGAGTGCATCACACAGTGGAAACTCAGGATCATTAGCCATTTGATATTTGTGTTTTCTACCTTTCATTCTTCTTCCCAGAAGGGGCCTCTTCTCTATTCTTTTTCTTCCTTGGACAGTTTACAAATGTCCCCCATGAAGTCTGAAATTCACAATTATTCATCTCTGCACACTTTCTCAGTGAAGGAGAGTTCTGTAGTCAGCAGAACTATCTTGAGACAGCAATTCATGGACCATCTATTTCACTGATATATGTCCCTTGCAAGTTCCACCAAGTGATTTATCAAAATATTATATAGTCTATAACTATTTCCTTGAGGTAAATTCTTAGGGGTGCAATGGCTATACCTGAGAGCATAAAAAATGTGAAGAGTGGTGATGATTGTTAGAAATAAGGTGCGTTGATTTGCTCTCTGCCTGTGCTCCTGTGTGAGTGCTGGTTTGACTGCAGTGATTAATAAGCTGAGACCTGCAGTCCCATTTCTCAGGATCCTTTGTCCCTCTGTTCCCCATCAGCTTTCTCAGGAGCACGGCAGTCAGAGGACAGTCAGGAGAATAAAGCCAGTGTGAGTGGTGTGAGTAAGGGTATTTGTCATAGGGATTAGACTTTACACAGTTGGGGAAGAACTAAAGAGATCAAATTCTGGAAAGAGATTGGTTAGAGGAGGTGAGATAAATTACCAACCAGGGACCATGGAGGCGAGCTGTCTGGAGACTGGCCTAAAGTTGTTGTAGGTCCAAAGGCAGTCAGCTGGGATGAAAAGCTGCTTATGAAGCAGAGGAAAATGGACAAGTGGAACATACAAGAGCTAACTATGTCTGTCTTTCACTGCATCCACCCCCAGTGAGGCTGGTGACCTGATGAAGTTGGTGCCTTTCACTGTGGAGCTGTTCATGTGCCTGGCCCAGGACTAGAAGATGAAGGAGGTGATCTGGCGGGAGCTGAAGGAACTGCATATCCTGCTGCTGCCCCAGGCTAGCAAGGTGATTCAGCGGATCAGCAACGTGTGTGACCAGTGCTGAACTTCAAAGCTTAATGGCAGCTGTTTAACTTGGGATTTCCACATCTCATGCAAATTTCTCTTGTGTACAATCCTAGCTCAGAGTCCTGTAAGGAAAGAACTTTTGAGGAGCACAGTTCCAGCTTAGTTAAATTGACACAAAGTAAAGCCACACCCTAAGTGCCTGTAGGACTTAGTTGGTGCCAGCACAGAACAGTGAATTCCAGTGAACCTGGCAAGCATTCACTATTGCCTGGAAAGTTAGAGATGGGCTGCGGTGAGAGGTAGCAAAATCAAAACATTTTACAGATGGATGAAACATTTTGTAGAAGTGAAGAGAATATCTGCACTGAAGACAAAAGTCTATCAAAGAGATTACTGAACCAAACATTCCCAGGTCTCTTGTTGAGAACTGCCCTGCCTCGTTTTAGGAGCTGTAACCACCCCCATGGATAAGGCTGAGCAAGTGACCTTTGGACCATAATCCACTAAGGAGACAAAGCTTATCTCCCTGGTAGGGGTGCAGCCTCTGCTCCTTTTACTTCACCCTGCCTGGCCCCCAATGCTTGATTCATTAACCATTGACTGGTAAGATTCCTCAAGGGAGGGATGACCTAAGACAGGCATGATCATGGGGGGCGCCCCAGGGAAGGACTTGGGGGCTATTGGAAAAGGGGGTGATAGGGTGCCACCCTGTGCTGGAAAAGGTGGGTTCCCTAGGGCGATAAGGCCTAAGAAAGAATACATAAAATCCTGCGAAGCCTACTTTGCTAATACCCTCAATTTAAATGATAAGGGACCAAGTCTGAAATTAATTTGTTTCCCCCAAGTTTTATGGCCCTTTAGCTATTTGACCGTGACTCAAAATAGGCACTCAGAGTTCTTCGAATGTTATCTATTTGATCATTACTACCTGACAATGATTGATGGGCTTAATCTGAGCGTCTTTGGAACCGCTGGCTGCTTACTGATTATAATAGTGTTCTGTGTACTTTGACACATTTGCAAATTATTTTGCTGAGGTCATGTGAGAGACCAGCAAGTAGCAAGCTTTGTGGGATCTATAGTGGTCCTAATTAAAAACAAGGAGGGAGCTATAGGAGACCATTCTGTGTGGCCCAGGTCCCACTTGGAGTTGCACAGGACCCACACCCACAGATAGGTTCTCCCCTGGGGAATCAGGCCTGCACTGTACCTAGACTGCTATGAGACTTGCTTTTGCTAAAACTCCCTCACCCTGAATTGAGATAGCAAGTGTTTCCTGTAACTTCCTAAAATCCACGCTAAACCTTCCAAGGATGAGTGTAACCAGTTCAACCACTTTTCCCTTTGTATTTGCAAATATCCTTCTGCTGTGTTGTGATTAGCAGCAGCATCTCCTTTGTTTTCTGTAAAAGGTAACCACCTAAAGCGAACCTGTGCACAGTAAATGAGGACCATCATGTAATGTGCACAGAAAAGAAATAAAGGCCAGTCAAGGCAAGGGCTGAGGTTTTTTTCTCCTCTTGAGAGAGAAGCCATGCTGTCCCTTTTCCTCCATAGGACTCGGTAGTCAGTGTGAATTTCTCGTGCGCCATCCACAATGTGGTGGACCCCACAAGCTGGGGTCCACATCAGTCACTTGCCAGAAATATTGAAGAGTCAAGCATAGGAAGACCACATATTTGTATCATTTTCCTGAAACAGACTTAGTAAGTACCCTGAGCTTTCCTATGCATGGAAGCCTGTATAAAGGCTATGGAAATATGCCCTATCAGTAAGTAGAAGCCATTGATCATGGAGCTGTGGCTAATCTGTTGTATCATGAAGAATTTATACAGTTATAGAAGTTGAATATCTATAATAGTGATTACCCTACACTATGCAGAAAACCTGTTGTATAGTATTGTGTATATTTGTCATATGTTCCAAATATAGGCAACAAAAAAGTCTGCTTTATAATATTAATTCAAAATTGTAGGCAAGTACTAAATATTTCTGCTTTGGAAGAGATTTTCAGTGTTCAACACAAATTTTTTTAAACTATCCTGTTCTATGGCATAATTTCTTTCCATTTTTTTTGACCATGGTGGGAGTGTGAGAGGCAGAGTGGTAGAGAGTGAGAAGGCAGAACCAGAATAGTATGGATGGTGGAATTTAAATGACTCATCTTTGTGTCCTTGTTTTTATTACAAAGGTTAGTTCCCACTAACTGATACTTGTAGTATCAGTAAAGAGATATTCCTGCTTATATCACCGTCTAATTATCTGATGTTTTTCTAAGCATCATTTTGCTCAGTATGTGCTTAGTGTTAACGTGGGTCATCCTTGAGAAAATGCTCCAAAGGGGTCAGACGTTATTGGTACATCTCTGATGAGATCTTTTTCGTTCTCATGGCGAGGGATGAGAGTGGCAGATTATCACCACTATTCTTCAGTGAGGTGCACTGGCCAGGTTTGCAGAAAATTATCCTAGGTGGAGATTTGAGGATGTTTTCCAGAACCGCACCACCAAACTGAGCCACAAAGGGAGCTGCTGCCTCCACAAATGGAAATCTCATGTTCTGGAAGCTTCCCTACAGCTGTAGCCTGCTTCGGCTCTTCCAGCAACTCCATGTGCACTCTCCATCCTTAGCAATCTCTTCGTATTTAAATTCATTACGGTGGATGCTGCTGTCTTGAATAAGGACCATGACAAATACAGCAATTGGCATTGTAGTCTGTGTAGAGGAGCAGTTGGCTTGCTCATTCATTCATTCATTCAATAAATGGTCACTAATTAGCAGTTGGCTTTTTGAACTATGAGGTTCTACTCAGTCAGTGTAGATTAAGAGCCAAAGCCAGCAGAAAGCACCTGGCTTGGCAAAGCTCTCTGCCTCTCCTTCCCTGTGTTCACACTGGGTAGCCTTAGCCTGAATTCACTGTTTGTTGTTGAGTCTTTCTGAAAGGTACAAAAGCAGCTGAACTACTGAACTGCTGTGAGGAAACTGCCCAAAATCCTCTAAAACAAAACAGCTAACATACTCTCTTTTTTTTTTTTGACACAGCTACAACCCTCATTGACACCATTCACTAAGCTCCCAGAAGCAGGGAATAAGTGAGATTCTGGAGCCATTTTGAATCTGTCTCTTCTCCAGCCCAAAACCTTTTAAGCAATTGAATCATCTCTCTTTTGGGCAGAAGATGGTGTTAGAATATTGTGTCACGGACTGACAGGGAATAAAATCACATAAGCCATCTTCAGAGCCAGATCTGCTGTTAGTGGGGCTTGAAGCTCATATAATTCAGGAACTTTCTTGAAGACAAACAGTGCAACATTACAAATACAACATTAGTTATCAGAAGGAACCCTTGGGATTAGCAAAGAACTCACAGCACACTGCAAAATTTAAAAAGGGGACATAGCAGAGACTTCACAAAGTGCAGTAAACAATGTGGCAGACTATTAATTGTGTGCCTGGCAAATCTCTAGAATACACGTACAGTGTCCTCCTATGTTCCTGGTTAGATAAAAAAGGACACATAAAGGACACGTAGCAAAGTACAGAACATGAGGCAAAGTCACCCAGTTCATTAAAACGAAGCAAGCTTGCTCCGCGGTCTGTACAAACAGCATCTTCCTTTATTAATACTACCTATCTCCCCACCTTTTATTTCCTGTGTTAAAGTGACTTGATTCTCCTAGTTACCTCTATCTTTTCTATAATGATTTTCACCTACATTTTATTGGCTCTTCTATTCTTTACCCCCCATCTTTATGATTTTTACCATCATTGGTTTTAGTTTCCATTATCTTCTTACAGCAAGAGAGTTTTTGATACTTTTAAGCTCTACTAGTTTTCATTTCTTGATTTACATTATTGGCTTCACCAGGATATTTCCTTCCTATCATATTTATCTTGATATGATCAGTGATTCTGAACACAATATATAAAATTAATCTGAAAATAAGCTCTACAAGGAGCAATTCAGATGCATTTTAAAATTGCCACCAAGTCGAATTGTGTTGTATAGTCAGGTAATCAAATTACACTTAAACTGCATCCATTGATCTATCGACGGGCATGTGTAAGAGTTTTGTCACTGGAGCACTGTTTTCTTTCTTATTCCAGGCCGGTCCTAAACACTGGGTGAGTTCTGTGTGCCTCCTCCTCAGACACTGTCAGACCTAGTCAGGAGAGGCTGCACTCCCATGCCAAGATGTAATCCGACACCTTGGGATGCATAGAATAATGGAACTTCACACAACAACTATTTGCCCTACTATGTGTAACACACAGGGACTCTGATAACCCCATTTTGCATAGTTTCCAACAACCATGAAAAAAATCATATAGTAGATTTATTATTATATCAGCTACATTGAGTATTCCTAATAATAGGAATTTTGGTCAGGGGTCCTTTGCTTACTGTTTTACATATCTAATCACTGGAGGAATTTCCCAAATACTGGCTTCTGGCTGCATGCTTTTCTGTCCTTGTTTTTTTTTTTAATATTTAATTTATTTTTTAGAGAGAGGGGACGGGAGAGAGAGAGGGAGAGAAACATTAATGTGTGGTTGCCCTTCACATGCTAGTTACTGGGGACCTGGCCTGCAACCCATGCATGTGCCCTGGCTGGGAATCAAACCAGTTTACAGGCTGGTATTCAATCCACTGAGCCATGCCAGCCAGGGCGGCCTCCATTATTCTTATCCTTGGAGTGTAAAGAATCATGGGGCCCTTTCATTTCCTGATAGAGCCTCTGGCTTGGGGTCTTCATGCTATGATGTTCGTGCTGGCAGAGTGGGCAGCAGGAGCACTCCTGGAAGCCGTCCCTACAGAGGGATGTCTGAACTACACCCAGAGGTGACTGAAATGTGTAACTGGGTCTCAAGCTGATCCAAGCTACAGGTATCACCAACTCCCTTTCGGTGATATCCCAAATACCTGTGGCCACTCCTAAACCACCCTACAAAAATGGAAGTATAATAGAGGAAAAGTCAGAGTGGAATTGAGCAATTGAGGTTAAAAGCTGGCTTCTGTAAACTTTACAAAACATATGACCTGCCAGGGCCTTGCAAAGAAAGACCTGGGCAGTGAGAGCCCCAGGACTTAGGCTTTGCTGACATTTTGGTAACCCTCCTCTGCCAGTTCTGTCTCAGTGTTCCGGGACTTCAGTCTGTTGGGTTTAAAAGAATTAAGGTTCAAGTAGAGCTTATCTGGGGAAAGGAAAGCACTTGCATGTTTGCCATATCCTAAAACAGAGGTTAATGCTTTATGAGGCTCATTATTCTCATCACTGGATGTAACCAATCTTTCCAACTGTTGATGTGGCCTTATTTGCAACTCAAAGGGAAAGGTTATCAAGACTGAAGGGGCTGAGACTTTATCCTACTAACAAGTTAACCTGCAGCAGTTTCACGAATAGTAGAGAAGGCACAGGACTCCTGGACCAGAGACAAAAGACGTCATTACTCAGCACAGAGGGCATTGTGAGCAGCATATGTGCATCAGTGTCCCTTGCCCACAAGCCTCGTCAGGTCGCACCGATGAGCCCAGAGGGATCTTTGCACATGCAGTGTTTGCACTGTAGGAGAGAAGCCCCGAGTTTAGTTTCATAATGGGCAGTAAAATAAGCATGTCTCCCTTTGCTCCAGAGAAAGGCACTATCTTTGTTTCCCAAAACTGTTCACTAAACAGTCATCCTTGAAAATATATTCCAGAACAAAAATGTGACCAGTGCCTTGATCACAGGATGTGCAGATTCATTGGAGGTCTTTGGAAAACCATCTCCCAATCCAGTTAAAAGGCCTTTGTGAGAGAGAAGCAAAGCCCAAGATGGTTCATTATGAAGCAGTTGTTCTCCTGTTGGCTGACTCAGTCAACTCACAGTCTAAGAAAATGTACAATGGAGGTGTGAAAGATGCTGCTCCTTAATAACATTCATTGTATATATTGGAAATATGATTCCCAGATATTTTAGTGTCCCTTTAATTCTATATGATGCTGCTGTCTCCAAAGTGATCAATGTTTTCTTTTAAAAAAAACTTGTGAATTACCTTTGTGTTGATTGAGTCTGTAAGTTGATCACATGTTTCATGAGATAGACCTAAATTTTTTTTTAAGATTTTATTCATTTATCTTTAGAGGGGAAGGGAAGGAGAGAGGGAGAGAAACATCAATGTATGGTTGCCTTTTGTGCATCCCCTGCTGGGAACTGGCCTGCAGGGAACCGGCCTACAATCCCAGTATGTGCCCTGACTGGGAATCGAACTGCGATTGTCTGGTTTGCAGGCCCGAGCTCAATCCAAGACCTAAATTTTTTACTCGTTTTTTTTTTTAATCTTGTGTTTTTCAAATAGAGTGCTGGGTTCAAGTCTTAATTCTGCCATTAACTCGTGATGTAACTCTGAGTAAATCACTTAATTTTCATCATCTGAGGGAAATTGTCCTAAATGATTGCTAGGGCTCCTTCCAGATCTCAAATTTTGTGAACATTTTGCTCTTGAATTTTTGATTTCTACTGTTTGCCTTAGATTTTGATTTTATCATCATCAACAATGAGTATTGAGTACTTTCATATCTAGTCTTTCACCTGCTGTTGAGACAGCAATGATGAATGAAACATATTTTCTATCCTTAGAGGATAGCTGAATGTTCCAGTTATCTATTGCTGCATTACAAACCACCCTGAAACTTAGTGGTTTAAAACAATTATCTATTTGGCTCA